GATGCATGTATATGTTCAATAGCATAGAGGACAAAAACACAGCCCACACACCAATGGCCAGGGAATTGAGCAGCATCACCTTCTGGGTTGCCCCACCAGGAACGACAGGAGCTACTGCAGAACGGTATGATTAAGCCCCATCCAAGAGAGGAAGGAAACCACAATGGATGGCACTGAAAGTGGATGGAAGGTCCAGCAGAACCAACAGCGACACACCTGCATAGGGCATCTGACTGCATAAGTCATCAACTATGGTGACCAAAGTTGCCTCTGCCCCATAATCAGGAGTGGAGTTAGATTGAAGTAGATCTAGGTCAAGCATGGTCAAACTTTGGCCCTCCAGGTGTTTTGGATGTCAACTTCCACAATTCCTTACAGCCAGGCTGTAAGGAATTGTGGAAGTTGAAGTCCAAAACACCTGGAGGGCCAAAGTTTGACCATGCTTAAGTTGAAGTCCAAAACACCGGGGAGGGGGTGCAAAGTGTAACTATGCCTGAGTTGACATCCAAAACACCTGGAGAGCTGAAGTTCTACCATGCCTGAGTTGAAGTCCAGGCATGGACTGAAGTTCAATCATGTCTGAGTTGAAGCCTAAATACCTGGAGGGCCAAAGTTTGACCATGCCTGAGTTGAAGCCCAAAGCACCTGGAGGGCCAAAATTTGACCATGCCTGAGTTGAAGCCCAAAGCACCTGGAGGACCAAAGTTTGACCATACTGAGTTGAAACCCAAAGCACCTGGAGGACCAAAGTTCAAACATGCCTGAGGTGAAACCCAAAGCACCTGGAGGGCCAAAGTTTGACCATGCCTGAGTTGAAGCCCAAAGCACTTGGAGGACCAAAGTTTGACCATACTGAGTTGAAACCCAAAGCACCTGGAGGACCAAAGTTCAAACATGCCTGAGGTGAAACCCAAAGCACCTGGAGGGCCAAAGTTTGACCATGCCTGAAGTTGAAGCCCAAAGCACCTGGAGGACCAAAGTTGGACCATGCCTGAGTTGACATCCAATACACCTGGAGGGCTGAGGTTTGACCATGCCTGAGTTGAAGCCCAAAGCACCTGGAGAACCAAAGTTGGACCATGCCTGAGTTGACATCCAATACACCTGGAGGGCTGAGGTTTGACCATGCCTGAGTTGAAGCCCAAAGCACCTGGAGGACCAAAGTTGGACCATGCCTGAGTTGACATCCAATACACCTGGAGGGCTGAGGTTTGACCATGCCTGAGTTGAAGCCCAAAGCACCTGGAGGACCAAAGTTGGACCATGCCTGAGTTGACATCCAATACACCTGGAGGGCTGAGGTTTGACCATGCCTGAGTTGAAACCCAAAGAACCTGGAGGATCAAAGTTCAAACATGCCTGAGTTGAAACCCAAAGCACCTGGAGGGCCAGAGTTTGACAATGCCTGAGTTGAAACCCAAAGCACCTGGAGGACCAAAGTTCAAACATGCCTGAGGTGAAACCCAAAGCACCTGGAGGGCCAAAGTTTGACCATGCCTGAGTTGAAGTCCAAAACACCTGGAGGACCAAAGTTTGACCATGCCTGAGTTGAAGTCCAAAGCACCTGGAGGGCTGAAGTTCAACCATGCCTGAGTTGAAACCCAAATACCTGGAGGGCCAAAGTTTGACCATGCCTGTGTTGAAGCCCAAACACCTGGACGGCTGAAGTTTGACAATGCCTGAGTTGAAGCCCAAAGCATCTGGAGGGCCAAAGTTCAACCATGCCTGAGTTGAAACCCAAAGCACCTGGACGGCCGAATTTTGACCATGCCTGAGTTGAAGCCCAAAGCACCTGGAGGGCTGAAGTTCAACCATGCCTGAGTTGAAACCCAAAGCACCTGGAGGGCTGAAGTTCAACCATGCCTGAGTTGAAACCCAAAGGACCTGGAGGGCTGAAGTTTGACCATGCTTAAATTGAAGTCCAAAACACCTGGAGGGCCAAAGTTTGACCATGCCTGAGTTGACATCCAAAACACCTGGATGGCTGAAGTTATACCATGCCTGAGTTGAAGTCCAAAACACCTGGAGGACCAAAGCTTGACCATGCCTAGGTTGAAGTCCAAACACCTGGAGGGCTGAAGTTCAACCATGCCTGCGTTGAAGTCCAAAACACAAGGTTTGCCCATGCCTGATCGAGAGCCCAGGTGGTTCTCCAAACACCTCATCCACATCCTCAGGCGCTAGAATTCGAAATGCGTCCATCCACCTGGGATAAGCAAGAGTGGAAGCAAGAGGTGGGGAATGGCAATGGAGCTTAGATGTTTTCTAAGCTTTGATGGTTTTCCCCCCAGTAATAAGTTAGTATTGAAAAGAACAAGGGACACGTCACCCTGAATTCCAACCTCAGACACAACTGGTCTTAGAATCATAGAATCATAGAATCAAAGAGTTGGAAGAGACCTCCTGGGCCATCCAGTCCAACCCCATTCTGCCAAGAAGCAGGAATATTGCATTCAAAATCACCCCTGACAGATGGCCATCCAGCCTCTGTTTCAAAGCTTCCAAAGAAGGAGCCTCCACCACACTCCGGGGCAGAGAGTTGGTCTTCCTTTGACCAAGTGGCCCTCCCCAGGCCTCTCTCCTCCAGTTTCTGTGCCGTTGCCCCATGGACGAAAGGTCACCCCACAAGCCTCCAGGGAGAAGGATGGAGAGGAAGGGATGCCAGAGCGGGACCAGCCTGTCCTGCAACGTCGGCTCTACTGGTTTTGAGAAAAGCCCTGGGGAAGCCCTGCTCCCTCCTTCCTTCCCTCAGCCTTCACCAGAAGGTTTTTGCCTTCTTTGGCTTTGTTGCGGAGAGTTTGGCTCAGGAAGGAAGGAAGGCAGGCGAGAGGCAAGGAGGGAGGGAGGCCCAGCTCAGAGATTCCCACCCAGATAAGAAGTCCTCCCCCTGCAAGGATCCCAGACTACTGCAAAACAAGATCCCTGGGCAGCCTGGCTCCTGAGGAGTTTCGGCAATTATCTCAGCTCCCTAAAGAGGAGTTCCAGGAATCGCAGCAACCGCAAGGGATCGTATGGGATGGGAAAGGACCACTGGTTCCCATAAGACCCCCCTTCTTTTTGGAGGGAGTCGGAAGAAGGGACAAAATAGAGAACGGGGAACGTGTGGCTCGAGAACAGTCCGTGTGAAAAAGGTTTTGGAGTCCTCATGGATAACAAGTTAAACATGAGCCAATAATGTGATGTGGCGGCAAAAAAAATCCAATGGGATTTTAGCCTGCATCAATAGGAGTCTAGTGTCTAGATCCAGGGAAGTAATGCTCTATTCCGCCTTGGTCAGACCACACCTGGAATATTGTGTCCAATTCTGGGCACAACAATTGAAGAGAGATATTGACAAGCTGGAATGTGTCCAGAGGAGGGCGACTCAAATGATCAAGGGTCTGGAGAACAAGCCCTATGAGGAGCGGCTTAAAGAGCTGGGCATGTTTAGCCTGAAGAAGAGAAGAATCATAGAATCAAAGAGTTGGAAGAGACCTCATGGGCCATCCAGTCCAACCCCATTCTGCCAAGAAGCAGGAATATTGCATTCCAATCACCCCTGACAGATGGCCATCCAGCCTCTGTTTAAAAGTCTCCAAAGAAGGAGCCTCCACCACACTCCCTCCGGGGCAGAGTTCCACTGCTGAACGGCTCTCACAGTCAGGAAGTTCTTCCTCATGTTCAGGTGGAATCTCCTTTCTTGTAGTTTGAAGCCATTGTTCCATTGTGTCCTAGTATCCAGGGAAGCAGAAAACAAGCTTGCTCCCTCCTCCTCCCTGTGGCTTCCTCTCACACATTTATGCATGGCTATCATATCTCCTCTCAGCCTTCTTCAGGCTAAACATGCCCAGCTCCTTAAGCTGCTCCTCATAGGGCTTGTTCTCCAGACCCTTGATCATTTGAGTCGCCCTCCTCTGGACACATTCCAGCTTGTCAACATCTCTCTTGAATTGTGGTGCCCAGAATTGGACACAATATTCCAGTTGTGGTCTAACCAAAGCAGAATAGAGCATGGGGAGCAGGACTTCCCTCGATCTAGACACTAGGCTCCTATTGATGCGGTCCTGAGAGGAGACATAATGTGGGCCATGCATAAATACATGAGAGGAAGTCATAGGGAGGAGGGAGCAAGCTTCTTTTCTGCTTCCCTGGAGACTAGGACGCAGTGGAACAATGGCTTCAAAATACAAGAAAGGAGATTCCACCTGAACATGAGGAAGAACTTCCTGACTGTGAAAGCTGTTCAGCAGTGGAACTCTCTGCCTTGGAGTGTGGTGGAGACTCCTCCTTTGGATGCTTTGAAACAGAGGCTGGATGGCCATCTGTCGGGGGTGATTTGAATGCTATTTTCCTGCTTCTTGGCAGAATGGGGTTGGACTGGATGGCCCACCAAGTCTCTTCCAACTCTAGGATTCTATGACCCCTTTTGTATTTCCTCTGACAACAGACTCCCTTCCCAGAGCTCTCCAGGATGCCCAACCAGGAGAGAACCTTTATTCCTACTGTTGGTTCCCCTGCAGACTCTGGGAGAAGAACCAAGGAAGGAGAAATGGTCTTTGGGAGAATAATTCCAACCAAAAGTGCAGAGTATTATTAACTCTAGCCCTGGCCCTTGAGTGCTCTAACTAGAGGTCAGCTGTGACCAGCAGTGCTGTGGTATACAAAGAGGGACGAATGGAGGGTGAAAGGGAGAAACGTGCCAAGGCACCATGACTTCCCTCGATGTAGACACTAATCTAGACCACCTTGTTGTCTATCCAGAAGAACTGGGGAGCCCTGGCCCTTGAATGCTCTAACTGGAGGTCAGCTGTGACCAGCAGTGCTGTGGTATATGAAGAGGGACGAATGGGGGGCATGACTTCCCTCAATCTAGACACTAATTTAGACCAACTCATTGTCTATCCATCCTTGCAGCGATGGTGGCAAGCAATGTGTCTTCTTTGGCAGAGAAATAAATGCAGGAAATAACAACAACAACAACAACAATGGCACCAGTTGCATGCAAACCCTGCCCCACTCACCCAGCTGATGAGGACGATGTGCTGCTGTCCTGTGGCGCTATCCGGCAGGCGGCACAATCCGTACATGATGGCACCAATCTGGAAGCGCTTGGCCAGTTCGTCTGGGCCGCCGGCTGCAGAAGGAGGCAACCAGGCAGGGGTCAAAAAAGGCCTCCATGGCCAAGTTGACCCCAGGAAATGTGGGGCAAGCCCCAGATGCTCAGCTTCTAACTCAGTCCAAAGGGGACCCACTGGGGAAGGGAGCCCAAAGGCCAGGTGAGCCACTTACCTCCTGAGTCCAGGAGCTTGAGGACGTTGGCTTTTTCGTAGGTGAAGAGGGCCCTGGATTGGGGAGAAAGTCAGGAGGGGGTCAGCAAGCCCAGCAGCCCCAAAGCACGCTCCCTCCTTCTGCCAAGATATCAGGATCCTATCACAGAATCCTAGAGTTGGAAGAGACCTCGTGGGACATCCAGTCCAACCCCTTTCTGCGAAGAAGCTGGACAATCGCGTTCAAAGCACTCCCGACAGATGGCCATCCAGCCCCACAGCCAGGTGACAGTTAGGACCTGCCCTGGGGGCCATCCAGTCCAACCCCATTCTACCAAGAAGCAAGGCAATCGCATTCAAAGCATCGCCAACAGATGGCCGTCCAGCCTCTGTTTCAAAGCCTGCAAAGAAGGATCCTCCAGCACACTCCATAAGGAGCAGGGAGTTCCACTGCTGAACAGCTCTCACAGTCAGGTGGCAGTTTGGACCTGCCCTATGGGCCATCCAGTCCAACCTCATTCTGCCAAGAAGCAGGACAATCACGTTCAAAACACCCCTGACAGATGGCCATTCAGCCTCTGCTCAAAAGCCTCCAAAGAAGGGGCCTCCCTCCACCACACTCCACAAGGAGCAGGGAGTTCCACTGCTGAACAGCTCTCACAGTCAGGTGGCAGTTTGGACCTGCTCTGTTTGAGATTAAGATGTTTTCTTCCTTATCAATACTGTGCGTTTCTAGGTATTAGGTATTTCATATTGCTATGTTCAGGAGATTCCACCTGAACATGAGGAAGAACTTCCTCAGTGTGTGAGAGAGAGCTGTTCAGCAGTGGAACTCCCTGCCTCAGAGTCTGGTGGAAGCTACTTCCTTAGAAGCTTTTAAACAGAGGCTGGAGGGTCATCTGTTGGGGTGCTTTGATTGTGCATCCAGCTCTGACAAGGCTAAACTCTAGTAACCTTGTAACTTTAAAATAAAGTTGCACAATTTAGCATATTTTTAGAGTGAGATCATTTTGTATATCTGGGTATTTCCAGTTGATTTGATAGTACATTGGATCTGATGCCCAGAGGTCATCCTGATGCCCTTTGGAGGGCCCAGATTGGGGGAACGTGGCTATGATACAATACTACCTGCCTCTCAGACCAAGGAGACAAATCTAGACGATCTCAACAGGTATAAGTTATGCATTTAGAGCAGGCATGGGCCAACGTCGGCCTTCCCTCCAGGTGTTTTGGACTCCAACTCCCACAATTCCTAACAGTCTATATGTAACGTTCGTTTGTGGGAGAAACATAACTCAGAAACCACTGGATGGATTGACATGAAATTTTGACATAACACACCTTATGAATGTGTCCATCACCCCTAAAAACACACAAAAAACAGCAGAACTGACTTCAAACCCCCCCAAAATAAACCATATATACATATACACATACATTCATATACATATACATATACACATACATACACAAATACATACAGATGCACACACGCATATATATATGCAAGCACACACAAATATGAACATATATACATACACATACACATATGCCTACACACATATACACATACATACATATATACACACACATATATGCATATACACAATCACATAAATATATACAATATACATATACACATATAAACACAGAAATACACAAATATATACATACACATACATACACAATACGCCTACTCACATATACACATACATATACATATATATAGACACACATATATGCATATACACAAGCACACTAATATACACAATATACAAATACACATATAAACACAGAAATACACAAATATGTATACACATATACACACACACATATACACACACATATACTCATATATATACACACATATATGCATATACACAAGCACACTAATATACACAATATACAAATACACATATAAACACAGAAATACACAAATATATACACACACATACACACATATATACACACACATACACATACGCCTACACACATATACACATACATATACATATATATATACACACATATATGCATATACACAAGCACACTAATATACACAATATACAAATACACATATAAACACAGAAATACACAAATATATACACATACAAACACACACATACACATACACATATATACACATACACATACGCCTACACACATATAGATATACATATATATACACACACATATATGCATATACACAATCACACAAATATATACATACATCTACACACATACACACATATATACACACACATACACATACGCCTACAGACATATACACATACATATACATATATACACACACATATATGCATATACACAAGCACACAAATATACACAATATACATATATACATAAAAACACAGAAATGCACACATATATATATATACACAAGGAGCCCCCGGTGGCACAGTGGGTTAAAGCACTGAGCTGCTGAGCTTGTTGATCGAAAGGTCGCAGGTTCGATTCCGGGGAGCGGCGTGAGCTTCCGCTGTCAGCCCTAGCTTCTGCCAACCTAGCAGTTCGAAAACATGCAAATGTGAGTAGATCAATAGGTACTGCTCCGGCGGGAAGGTAACGGCGCTCCATGCAGTCATGCCGGCCACATGACCTTGGAGGTGTCTACGGACAACGCTGGCTCTTCGGCTTAGAAATGGAGATGAGCACCAACCCCCAGAGTCAGACATGACTGGACTTAATGTCAGGGGACTACCTACCTACCTATATATATACACAAATACACATATACACAAATATATACACACAAATACATACAATGCATGCACATAACCACATATATACACATATAAACAAATATATACACACACAAAAACACATATATACACACACAAAACACATATACACAGACTGGGTCACAGCAATGCGTGGCAGGGGACGGCTAGTACATTATATTAATATATAAGCCTTAAGGTGCCAGTTTGAATGGCAGTAAAAGTACAATAGCTCTTGGTCTGCGACCTTTCACTCCAAAATCTTATGAACAAGGCTTTATTTATGAATGAAGAGACACAGCTGGGAAGTTTAGGAAGACTACCAGAGAGAGCCTGCTTGCCCCTCTGCTGGGTTTCTCAACCTCAATGGGAGGAAATGCATCCAGCCAATAGAAAGGCACAAAGGGAGGCTGCCAAAGCCACCTTGTTGTCGTAGTCCCTGGGAAATGCATGGTGTGTGTGTGTGTGTGCAATCCTTATGCTCTCAATCTGGGTCCCAGAGCCCTCCCTTCTATGCAAGGGCTGCTCTGGATGTGCTTAGGGCCCATGTGGCAGCCGGGTGAGCAGGAAGGAAGGAAGGAAGGAAGGGGGGCTTTGGCACATCAAAGGGGCTGCCCGCCACATCTGGGCCCCATCCCTTCATGGCGCCACGTCTTTGTGGAGGGAAGGGACGCCAAGAAATGCCCTCCCCTTTGGGAGGAAGGCACCAATGGGTGAGAAGCCCCCAGATGTGACTCCAAGCTGCATTAATTGGAGTAGAGCGTCCCACTCTGCTCTGCGCTCCATGCAATCATGCTGGCCACATGACCTTGGAGGTGTCTATGGACAATGCCGCTCTTCGGCTTAGAAGTGGACATGAGCACCAACCCCCAGAGTCGGACACGATTAGACCTAATGTCAGGGGACAACCTTTACCTTTAAGGTAAAGGTAAAGGTAGTCCCCTGACATTAAGTCCAGTCATGTCTGACTCTGGGCTGTGGTGCTCATCTCCATTTCTAAGCCGAAGAGCCAGCATTGTCCGTAGACACCTCCAAGGTCATGTGGCCGGCATGACTGCATGGAGCGCCGTTACCTTCCCGCCGGAGCGGTACCTATTGATCTACTCACATTTGCATGTTTTTCGAACTGCTAGGTTGGCAGAAGCTAGGGCTGACAGCGGAAGCTCACACCTATATTGTATGTGTTTCCTCCACCACAGACATCACAGTGTAAACATGTCCAAGGGTCCTGCCAATGTCCTCCACCAACACCACACTGCCCACCACCCAAGTGAAGGCTTTCATTCTGGGACAATTACAACCTAGATTATATGTGTTTCCTCCACCACAGACATCACAGTGTAAACATGTCCAAGGGCCCTGCCAATGTCCTCCACCAACATCACACTGCCCACCACCCAAGTGAAGGCTTTCATTCTGGGACAATTGCAACCTAGATTATATGTTTTTCCTCCACCACAGACATCCCAGTGTAAACATGTCCAAGAACCCTGCCAATGTCCTCCACCAACACCACACTGCCCACCACCCAAGTGAAGGCTTTCATTCTGGGACAATTACAACCTAGATTATATGTGTTTCCTCCACCACAGACATCCCCTGACATTAAGTCCAGTCATGTCTGACTGGGGTGTGGTGCTCATCTCCATTTCTAAGCCGAAGAGCCAGCGTTGTCCGTAGACACCTCCAAGGTCATGTGGCCAGCATGACTGCATGGAGCGCCGTTACCTTCCCGCCGGAGCGGTACCTATTGATCTACTCACATTTGCATGTTTTTCGAACTGCTAGGTTGGCAGAAGCTAGGGCTGACAGCAGAAGCTCACGCCGCTCCCCAGTATCGAACCTGCGACCTTTCGATCAACAAGCTCAGCAGCTCAGTGCTTTAACCCACTGCGCCACCAGGTTACTTATATATATATATATATATATATATATATATATATATAACACACACACACCCCGGCACCAACTGCTGTTCTGGCCAGAGTGTTGAAGACAGTTCCATCTTGTCTCCTGTGCTTTACTAATAATATAATATAATATATTGTATTGACAGATAATATTTATAATATTATAATGTAAGTAGCCATCCCCTGCCACACGTTGCTGTGGCCCAGTCTGTGTATATGTGTTTTGTGGGTGTATATATGTGTGTTTGTAAATATATATGTGTGGTTTTGCACATGCGTTGTAATGTATTTTTTTATTTTTTGGCTCTTTAAGTCTCTTCTGCTGTGTTTTTCGTGTTTTTACGAGTGATGGTCACTCGTTGGCCTGAGAGGTGTATTGTGTCCAAATTTGGTGTCCATTCGTCCAGTGGTTTTTGAGTTATGTTGATCCCACAAACGAACATTACATTTGTATTTATATAGATACAATATAATATTACTAATAATAATACAATATTATAATTACAGTATATATTTGTGTTTTTATGAGTGATGGTCACTCGTTGGCCTGAGAGGTGTATTGTGTCCAAATTTGGTGTCCATTCGTCCAGTGGTTTTTGAGTTATGTTGATCCCACAAACGAACATTACATTTGTATTTATATAGATACAATATAATATTACTAATAATAATACAATGTTATAATTACAGTATATATTTGTGTTTTTATGAGTGATGGTCATTTGTTGGCCTGATACATGTATTGTGTCCAAATTTGGTGTCCATTCGTCCAGTGGTTTTTGAGTTATGTTGATCCCACAAACGAATACTACATTTTTATTTATATAGATACAGTATAATAATAATAATAATAATAATAATAATAATACAATATTCTAATTATTTTATATTATAATATAATATAATATAATTATAATTATTTTATATTACATGTAATATTACTAATAATATTACAATAATATTACTAATAATATTACAGTATAATGGTGTAGTCCTTGCAGATGTCCTTGCAGACGGCCAATTCTCTCACACCAGAAGCGACTTGCAGTTTCTCAAGTCACTCCTGACACGACCAAATAATGGTATAGTACAATATAGTAATATAAAATACTGATATTGTACTATGTTAATAATTTAATATATTGTATGTATATATAACGGCGATCCATGCAGTCATGCCGGCCACATGACCTTGGACGTGTCTACGGACAACGCTGGCTCTTCGGCTTAGAAATGGAGATGAGCACCACACCCCAGAGTCAGACATGACTGGACTTAATGTCTGCGGACTACCTTTACCTTTACCATATAGATAGATAGATAGATAGATAGATAGATAGATAGATAGATAGATAGATAGATATTGTAAACCACTCTGCTTTGGTCAACCTTCACCTGGAATAATGACCCTGTGTCCAGTTCTGGGCAAAGCAAGAAGGAGGCGGCCAAGCTGGAAGGGGCCCAGGGAAGGGAGGCCGAAACGGTCAAGCTCTGGAAAGTATGGATCCTTTGGAGGGAGCTGGGGAGGTTTGGCTAAGAGGGAAGACTAACAAAATGAACACAATGAAGTTCAACAGCGACACATGCAAGAGACTCCACTTAGGAAGAAAAAAGGAAATGCAAAGAGACAGAATGGGGGACGATGATGCCTGACGTGTGAAAAAGATCTTGGAGTCCTTGTGGACAGGAAATTAAACATGAGCCAGGAATGTGATGTGGCGGCAAAAAAAGCCAATGGGATTTTGGCCTGCATCAAGAGGAGTCTAGTGCCTAGATCCAGGGAAGTCATGCTCCCCATGCTCTATTCGACCACACCTGGAATCACACTGTGTCCAATTCTGGGCACCACAATTGAAGGGAGATGCTGACTCTAAGCTGCAATGTGTACAGAGAAGGGCGACTCAAATGATCAACAATCCCTATGAGGAGCGGCTTAAAGAGCTGGGCATGTTTAGCCTGAAGAAAAGAAGGCTGAGAGGGGACATGATAGCCATGTATAAATATGTGAGTGGAAGTCATAGGGAGGAGGAAGGAGCAAGCTCGTTTCCTGCTTCCCTGGAGACCAGGACGCAATGGAACAATGGCTTCAAACTACAAGAAAGGAGATTCCACATTAGGAAGAACTTCCTGACTGGGAGAGCCGTTCAGCAGTGGAACTCTCTGCCCCGGAGTGTGGTGGAGGCTCCTTCTTAGGAAGCTTTGAAACAGAGGCAGGATGGCCATCTGTCGGGGGTGATTTGAACACGATTTTACTGCTTCTTGGCAGAATGGGGTTGGACTGGATGGCCCAGGAGGTCTCTTCCAACTCTTTGATTCTATGATTCTATGATTCTATCCTCAAGGGCTATCTAGTCCAACCCCTTGCTGTGCAGGAAAAGCACCATCCAAGCATACCTGACAGATGGCCCTCCAGCCTGTGTTCAAAAGCTTCCAAGGAAGGAGTTTCCAACAGACTCAGAGGCAGAGAATTCCACTGCTGAACAGCTCTTCTTATGGTCAGGAAGGTCTTCCTCAAGGGCCATCTAGTCCAACCCTCTTCTGCCATGCAGGAAAAGCACCATCCAAGCATCCCTGACAGATACCCCTCCAACTTCTGTTCAAAAGCTTCCAAGGAAGGAGCTTCCACCAGACTCAGAGGCAGAGAGTTCCACTGCTGAATAGCTCTTCTTACGATCAGGAAGGTCTTCCTCAAGGGCCATCTAGTCCAACCCCTTGCCGTGCAGGAAAAGCACCATCCAAGTATCCCCGACAGATGGCCCTCCAGCTTCTGTTCGAAAGCTTCTAAGGAAGGAGCTTCCACCAGATTCAGAGGCAGAGAGTTCCACTGCTGAACACCTCTTCTTATGATCAGGAAGGTCTTCCTCAAGGACCATCTAGTCCAACTCCTTGCCATGCAGTAAAAGCTCCATCCAAGCATCCCTGACAGATGGCCCTTCAGGCTCTGTTTAAAAGCTTCCAATGAAGAAGTTTCTACTAGACTCAGAGGCAGAGAGTTCCACTGCTGAACAGCTCTTCTTACAGCTCTCATGTCTCCTTCTCTCAACCTTTAGCTTATAGCAGGCCTGGGCCAACTTGGGTCCTCCCTCCAGGTGTTTTGGACTCCAACTCCCACCATTCCTAACAGCCGGTAGGCTGTTAGGAATGGTGGGAGTTGCAGTCCAAAACACCTGGAGGGAGGGCCCAAGTTGGCCCAGGCCTGAGCTAAACTTTAGGAAGAACCCTGACAGTAGGAACTGTTTGTCCTGCAGAGTCTCCCTCTGTGGCTGGCCATCTGTTGGGAGGGCTTGAGTTGGGTGTCCTGTGACTCTCTGAGCCTTGAGCTCCTCCGGCTCAGTTCCTAAGTCCAAAATCCACCCGTGGCGTTTCATAATCCACCCCCAGGGAGGAAAAGAGAGGCGGAGAGGGGGGTCAAGAGGCAGCCCAGAGTGAGGAGGGGTCCCTGTCAATCCCACCCACCCCAGAGGCAAGCTAGAGACCCCTTCCCTGGCTCTTCTTCCCAAGTCGCAACCCAGAGCGCCCTGAGTGTGTTTGGGTTTGGGAGCTCCGCCTTGGTGACTTGGCTCCCCAGGTGAGGGTCTCTTCCTGCCTGGGGAAATTGGGGAGGGTCTCTTCTCCTGGAGGAAGGGGTCTTGGCCGGAGAAGGGAGGGAGGGAGGGGGGCGCGGTCCCCGAAGGCTCCCGCTGTCCGCCTGGAAGCCCGGCTGCCTTGGGTTAGGGTCAGGGTCCCGGTTTGGGAGGGAGGGAGGGATTGAGGGTGGGCGGGGGTCTCACCAGTTGGCGGCCGCGCTCCCGCTGACCACGTCGCCCTTGGCGGCCATGAGGGCCAGGCGGTGCTGGTCCAGGTCCACGGCCAGGCTCGCCATCGCGGAGGGAAGGAAGGAGGCAAGCAAAGCAAAGGAAGGCAAGAAGAGAAGGAGGGAGGGAGGGAGGGAGGGAGGAGGAACCAAGGCCCGCCCCAACTGAGCAGGCAGCCAAGCCCTCCAGGAGCTCCAGGGGAGGGAACGGCCCAGACCTGGAGGAGGAGGAGGAGGGAGGAGGAGGAGGAGGAAGGAGGGAAGGGAAGGGAAAGGAAGGAAGGAAGGAGGAAGGAAGGAAGAAGGAGAGGAAGGAATGAGGAAGGAAGGAAGGAGAAGGAAGGAAGGAAGGAAGGAAGGAAGGAAGGAAGGAAGGAAGGAAGGAGGGAGAGGAAGAGAAGACAGAAGAAAAGAAAAATCTCTAATGGGAATTTAAGGAAAGAAGAAGGAAGGAAGGAAAGAAAGGACAGAAGGAAGGAAGGAAGGAAGGAAGGAAGGAAGGAAAGAAGAAAGAGGTGAAAACAGAAGGAAGGAAGGAAAGAAAGAAAAAAAGAAAGAAAGAAGATGAGAGGACAGAAGGAAGGAAGGAAAGAAGGAAGGAAGAGAGGAAAGAAAGAAGAAAGAAAGAAAGAAAGAAAGAAAGAGGAGAAGATTGAATGAAGGAAGGAAAGAAGAAAGAAAGAAAGAAGAGAGGACAGAAGGAAGGAAAGAAAGAAGGAAGGAAGGAAGACAGGAAAGAAAGAAAGAAGAGAGGACAGAAGGAAGGAAAGAAGGAAGGAAGGAAAGAAGACAAGAAAGAAAGAAAGAAAAAAGAAGAGAGGACAGAAGGAAAGAAAGGAAAGAAAGAAGAAAGAGGTGAGGACAGAAGGAAGGAAAGAAAGAAGGGAGGGAGGAAAGAAAGAAGAAAGAGGGGACAGAAAGAAAGAAAGAAAGAAGGAAGGAAGGAAGGAAAGAAGAAAGAGGTGAAGACAGAAGGAAGGAAGGAAAGAAAGAAAGAAAAAAGAAAGAAAGAAGATGAGAGGACAGAAGGAAGGAAGGAAAGAAGGAAGGAAGAGAGGAAAGAAAGAAGAAAGAAAGAAAGAAAGAAAGAGGAGAAGATTGAATGAAGGAAGGAAAGAAGAAAGAAAGAAAGAAGAGAGGACAGAAGGAAGGAAAGAAAGAAGGAAGGAAGGAAGACAGGAAAGAAAGAAAGAAGAGAGGACAGAAGGAAGGAAAGAAGGAAGGAAGGAAAGAAGACAAGAAAGAAGGAGGGAAGGAAGGAAGGAAAGGAAGGGGAAGGGAGGAAAGGAGGAAGGAAAGAGAGAAGAGGGAGGGAGGGAAAGAGGGAAGGAAGGGAAGGAAGGAAGGAAGAGAAGGAGGAAAAGGAGGGGGAAGGAAGGAAGGAAGGAAGGAAGGAAGGAAGGAAGGAAGGAAGGGAAAGGGAGGAAGGAAAGGAAGAAGGGAGGGAGGGAGAGGAAGGGAGAGAGCAAGGAGGGGGGAAGAGGGAGGGAGGGAGGGGGGAGGGGGAAGGAAGGAGGGGGGGAGGAAGGAAGGGAGGGAGGGAGGGAGGGAGGAAGGATGGGAGGGAGGGGAGGGAGGGGAGAGGGAGGGGGGGGGGGGAAGGGAGGGGGAAGGGAAGGGGGGGGGGGGAGGGAGGGAGGGAGGGGGGGAGGGAGGGAGGGAGGGAGGGAGAAAAGAAGGGAGGAAGGAGGGGTGGAAGTAGGGGGGGGAGAGGGGAGGGGTAAGAAAGGAGGGGGAGGAGATGAAAGGAAGGGAAGAGAGAGGGAAAAAGGGAGTGGGGGGGGGGGGGGGGGAGAGGAGGAGAAGGGAGGAAAGAAGGAAGAGAAGGCAGAAGGAGGAGAAAGGAGGAGAAGAGGAAAGGAAGAAAGGAAGAGGGGGAAAAGAAGGAAGGAAGGGAGAGAAGAAATATGGGAAGACAGAAGGAAGGAAGGAAGACAGGAAAGAAAGAAAGAAGAGAGGACAGAAGGAAGGAAAGAAGGAAGGAAGGAAGACAGGAAAGTAAAAAAGAAGAAGGACAGAAAGAAAGGAAAGAAGGAAGAAGAAGAAGAAAGAAAAAAGAAAGAAAGAAAAAAAGAAGAGGGACAGAAGGAAAGAAAGAAAGGAAAGAAAGAAAAGAGAGGAAGAAGGAAGGAAAAAAGAAAGAAGGAGGGAGGAAAGAAAGAAGAAGAGGGGAAAGAAGAAAGAAAGAAGAAAGAAGAAAGAAGAAAGAAGAAAGAGGTGAAGACAGAAGGAAGGAAGGAAAGAAAGAAAAAAGAAAGAAAGAAGATGAGAGGACAGAAGGAAGGAAGGAAAGAAGGAAGGAAGAGAGGAAAGAAAGAAGAAAGAAAGAAAGAAAGAAAGAGGAGAAGATTGAATGAAGGAAGGAAAGAAGAAAGAAAGAAAGAAGAGAGGACAGAAGGAAGGAAAGAAAGAAGGAAGGAAGGAAGACAGGAAAGTAAAAAAGAAGAAAGGGCAGAAAGAAAGGAAAGAAGGAAGGAAGGAAAGAAGACAAGAAAGAAAGAAAGAAAGAAAGAAAAAAAAAGAGAGGACAGAAGGAAAGAAAGAAAGGAAAGAAAGAAGAAAGAGGTGAGGACAGAAGGAAGGCAAGAAAGAAGGAAGGAAAGGAGAAAAGAAAGAAAGAAGAAAGAAAGAAGAGAGAAGGAAGGAAGGAAGGAAGGAAAGAAGGAGAAGGAAATAAGGAAAGAAGAAAGAAAGAAAGAAAGAAAGAAAGAGGAGAGGACAGAAGGAAGGAAAGAAAGAAGAAAGAAAGAAAGAAAGAAGAGAGGACAGAAAGAAAGAAAAAAGAAAGAAACAAAGAAAGAGAGAAAGGAAGGAAAGAAAGAAGACAGGAAAGAAAGAAAGAAGAAAGATAGAGGTGAGGACAGAAGGAAGAAAGGGAAAAAAGAAAGAAAAGAAAGAAAGAGAGGGACAGAAAGAAGGAAGGAAGGAAGAAAAGAGAAAGAAGAAAGAGAGGACAGAAGGAAGGAAGAAGAAGAGGAAAGAAAGAAAGAAAGAAAGAAAGGACAGAAGGAAGGAAGGGAGAAAGAAAGAAAGAAAGAAAGAAAGAAAGAAAGAAAGAAAGAAAGAAAGAAAGGACAGAAGGAAGGAAGGGAGAAAGAAAGAAAAAAGAAAGAAAGAAAGAAAGAAAGAAAGAAAGAAAGAAAGGACAGAAGGAAGGAAGGGAGAAAGAAAGAAAGGAGAAGAAGGAAGGGAAAGAAAGAAAAAGGAAGAAGGAAGAAGGAAGGGAGAAAGAAAGAAAGAAAGAAAGGACAGAAGGAAGGAAGGGAGAAAGTAAGAAAGAAAGAAAGAAAGAAAGAAAGGAGGAAGGGAGAAAGAAAGAAAGGAAAAAGAAGGAAGAGAAAGAAGAAAAAGGAGAAGGAAGGGAAGGAGAAGAAAGAAAGAAAGAAAGAAAGAAAGAAAGAAGAAAGAAAGAAAGAAAGAAGAAGGAAGGAAGGGAGAAAGAAAGAAAGAAAGAAAGAAAGAAAGAAAGAAAGAAAGAAAGAAAGAAAGAAGGAAGAAAGAAAGGAAAGGGAGAAGGAAGCATGGAAGCAAAGAGAGAAGGAAGGAAAGAGGTAGAGAAGGAAGAAAGGAGAGAAAGAAAGGGAAGGAAGGAAGAAGAGAAAGAAAGAAAGAAAGAAAGAAGAAAGAAAGAAAGAAAGAAAGAAAGGAAGAAGGAAGAAAGGAGGAAGGAAGGGAGAAAGAAAAAAGAAAGAAGGAAGGAAGGAAGGAAGGAAGGGAGAAAGAAAGAAAGAAAGAAAGAAAGGACAGAAGGAAGGAAGGGAGAAAGAAAGAAAGAAAGAAAGAAAGAAAGAAAGGACAGAAGAAGGAAGAAGGAGAGGGAAGAAAAAGAAAGAAAGAAAGAAAGAAAGAAAGAAAGAAAGAAAGAAAGGACAGAAGGAAGGGAGAAAGAAAGAAAGAAAGAAAGGACAGAACCCGAAATCCAAGGGATCCCCACGTAAAATTCTGAGCTCTGAGTTTACATCAGCCATCCTCATCCAACCCAAATAGTAGTAGTAGTAGTAGTAATAATAATAATAATAATAATAATAATTCCCCATTGATATTATTATTATTTTTATTATTATTATTATTATTATTATTATTATTATTATTATTATTATTATTACTACTACTACTACTACTATAATACTACTACTACAATAATAATAATAATAATAATAATAATAATAATAATAATAATAATATCAATGGGGTATTATTATTATTATTATTATTATTGATACCCTGCTTAATCTGCCCAAAGGAGACTCAAAGCAGCTTGACATAAAAGCATTAGTATACAATTCAAAATATACAAATATTAAAACAGAATTCAACACAAACAGCACTAAGAAAAAATCGCAGTTAAAATTCACCATACCCTTTTGGCCTGGTGGTTGGAGCTATTTGACATTGGAACATGCTGCCTTGGAGTCTGGTGGAGTATCCTGGTTTGGAGGTTTTTATGCACAGGCTGGATGGCCATCTGTCAGGAGGGCTTTGACTGTGTCTTCCTTCCTGGCAAAATGGGGATGGGCTGGATGTCCCTCAGGGTCTCTATGGATGGTTTGGGTAGAATTTGTTGCTGGAAGCAGGACATTTCTCGCACATATTAAAGCAGATGCTGCCCTTTGCCCAAGAGTTGGGGGCTTCCCTTTGCATGCAAACCCCCCTTTCAATCCCCACAGCAGGCGAGTGGTGTGTCTGTTTTGGGGGCCGAACACACATTTGGAGGGAGAGGGCTAGGGCTGGCCTCCAGTCCCAGCTTGAGAGGCATGGCCAGCCCATGTTCCGTAACATGAGGCTAATGGGTGGGGAGGCAGGGCGGCCTTGCCAAAACAAACCCATTCCCGCCTCTGGTGGCGCCGCTGTGGTACCTCTGGCCCTCCTCGGAGCGCATGGCTGCGTCAGCCTCAATACAATCATAGAATCATAGAGCTGGAAGGGACCACATGGGCCATCTCATCCAACCCTAGTTCAGCCATGCAAGAAAAGCACAATCAAAGCACTCCCGACAGATGGCCATCCAGTCTCTAGGTTGTTGTAGGTCAGTGTTTCTCAACCATCCCCATGCTGCGACCCCTTAATGCAGTTCTTCATGTTGTGGTGACCCCCAACCACAACATTATTTTTGTTGCGACTTCATAACTGTAATTTT